GCTCTCTTCTTTGCTTCAACTTCCATCCGTACCTCATCATCCCACCACAACGTATTACTTTTCCTTTCATTCGTTCTCTTACTTACACCGCATACTTCGGTGGCTGCATCCACCAAAACTTTCTTAATATTATTCCATACATTCTTCAATTCTAAATCATTCATACATAATTCATTCAACCCACTTATATTTTGCCTCAGTCTGCATTTATACTTCTCTTTCACACCTTCATCTTGTAACCTCTCTATTCTTATACGCTGTAACGCAGTGGTAGACACCGATGTCCGATGCCGCCAACGTCTGAATAGACCATTAATTCGGCATAAGACCAAGTAATGATCCGTCCCTACGTTGGACCCCCGGTAAACCCTTGTATCTACCACTGCGCTCCTCATTCTTTCATCCACAATTATAAAATCTATCATGCTTCTATCATCCCCTCTTTCCCATGTATACATGTGAATCCTCTTATGGCGAAAGAAAGTGTTCGCCACAAAAAGATTCTTTTCCACACATACGGTGAGGAGGTCTTCACCATTCTCATTTATTCTTTCATCGCCAAACGTTCCTAATATCCTTTCATAACCAGACCTCTTCACCCCCACCCTTCCATTAAAATCTCCTAACATAATAATATTTTCATTTTCCTTACATTTCATCAACACCAGCCTTACTATGTCCCAAAACTGCTCTCGGATATAAGTGGGCTTAGACATATCTGGGGCGTACACCCCTAGCACAAACTAGGTACTTACGCGTAAAGTATTTTTGGGCATGTAGATTAAATTGTTGAAGGTTCGGGCGCCTGAGCGAGGCATCTTTGCTGATCGACTGTAGTATGTACCTTTATTTGTAGTGTAATTTGTAAATAGTAAATCGTATTTGTGTAATTTGTATTTAACTTGATTTGATAGTAATTGTATTTGTTATTTATTAATTTGATTTGTATTTGTGCCGCGTAGTAATTTGTATTTAGTAGAGATGCCATCGCACAAGCAACCAGCGCTTCGCCAGGGGGTGGAGCTGCGCTGGGCCGCGAACGCCCATATTTTGATAGGTCGATCTGATCGAGTTCATAATTTAGGGTAGCGGCTCGAGCAGGTCGATGCCCGAAGGGCTGTAGTGGAGGACGCTTACGCTGAGCTCGAGGCCTCGGATGCGGAAAAGGGAGTCTTGGACTCCTGCCTCGCGGACTACGAGAAATTATTTTCGCTCACGGACGATTTGATCGAGGCGGGGGCCAAGTATGCTAAAGAAGCGCGTGAAGCTCTTAGAGTGGCCTGCCCGAGTGCCCTCGGAAGCAGCTTACTCAGCCGGAGCTGTTGGGATGACTCCCAACTCTGGACCTGCCAAGGTTCTCCAGGGTCCTCTCCGACTGGATGACTTTTGTTGGGCTTTTTGATAGCCGGGTGGATGCCCGGAGGGACTTGACACCAAGCCAGAAGATGGCGTACCTCCTAGCCTCACTGGAGGGGGAGACCCTGGGCGTCGTCGGCCATTTAAGATTGTCGGACGACGCCTACCAGACTGCTCGGGACCTCCTCGCTGGAAGATATGCCAACGTCCGGCGAATTGCGGACGAATACGTCAGGCAGCTTCTAAGCCTCCCACTGCTTAGGGATCGGGCCATACTACGCCCGGACCTAGTGAATCCAGTCTTGGTGACCTGTAATGCGTTGAGGCGGCTGGATTTGCCGGTGGATTAATGGTCCTTCTTGTTGCTCCACATCGTGCTGTCACGCCTATCTCTCGACCTTAGGATACATTTTGAGGAGAGGTATGGCGGGGACGGTGCCTCCTATATTCCACCCTTTAGTGATCTGCTGCGGTTCTTGGAGGAGCAGTGCCGGCAGATAGAGAACGCGGTGGGCACCGTTGACGACTTACGAGCCGTGCCCAGTGAGAGGCGGGATCCGCCGGGCAAATCGTCGTCAACCCCCCTAAAGCCGATCGGAGCTTCCGCGAGAGGGCGCCGCTCCCTACCATCTTACAGTGGCCTAGTGGCCAGGGAGGCGCCCCCCTGTTCCTATTGCCGAGCTTCCGATCACCGGGTGACGTCATGCCCGAAGTTATTAGGTAAGCCGGTTCCGGCTAGGCGAACTATCGTCAAGGAGCGCCGATGGTGCTACTCTTGTTTGGAAGGGCAACTCCAGCGAGACTGTTCGCACCAGCTGCCCTGTCCGCATTGCCAGGGCAATCACCTTGCCGTTTTGGGCCTGGGTGCGAACGGCGCTTCCTCTGAGGGCTTTGCCGGGCCTTCGACTCCCACGGGCGGAGGCGTTCAGCCGCGCCCCCTGTCGGGCGACGCTCGGCGCACACCGCTGGACACCGTGCCCCTGGGTTAGTAAGGCGTTCCTCCCCGAACCAGTCGGGGGGTCGTTCCCCCAGGGGCGGGGGGTCGTCGCCCCCCCTCATTGTGTGAGAGGGACTTCACAGCCACTCAGCGGTCAGCTAGACCTTTCTTATCCCCGTCAGCTGAGTGGCCACGACTGGGGTACCACCGTCCCCCCTTTGATGGAGGCAGCCCTAGCTAGGTGGCTGCCGCCCTAGCTCCCACCACGGCCACCTCCACTGAGCCTTTGAGCCGTCAACAGCTCACTTGTGAACCTGTTCTATTGCCGACGGCCTCAGTGAGCGTGTACAACCCGAGTGTCGATTGTTTACCGGTTCGCGCTCTATTGGTTGGAACCCAAGTTCTCAACACGGTGGTGCCTCCACTTGGTTGTTGGGAAGACTAGGGCTCCACTGGAGCGTTGAATCACGCTGTCAAGGACTATTAGATTTGGTTTTCGTCGAGCACTTAATTAATAATGCTTTAAATTTAAAATAAAAATGCTTTTGGGTTTTCCGCGAAATGTTTCATATTTGTGGAGGTTGTGATTAAGAGGGCGAATGTGATCTGCTCTTTGAATGCGTGTGCATATGTTTTTGTAAATGTATTTGATCATTGTGTTTGCTTTGTTGAAAAGAAAATTGAAATTGAATAACACTGTTAGTGCCGAGGGGAATAAGAATCAATCCTTTCTTTATTTTCACATTTTTGTTGGTACTGTCGAAGATATTTATTTGGAAAGAAAAATAAGGCTGTCTCTTACGTTTATCGTTTTGTTTAATTTGTCTGTTTGATCTATGCGCATCGGTAAATTTATTTGTTTGAATTAATTCAGTAGTTGAACATTGATGCTTTGACACTTGGTAGAAATATAAGCATAGGACTACATGTCTAAATGTCGAAGATATTTATTTTGGAAAAAAGGAATATGGTTATCTTTTGTGTTTATCGTTTTGCTTAATTATTCTGTTTTGAGCTATGCGCATTGGGCAATAAGTTGTTACAGTTTGTTTCAAGTTTTGCATAGTAGTTTGAGTATTGATGCTTTGAGGCTTGGATGAAGCATAGGCGTAGAACTGCATGTTTGGAAAAGCTACTCTTAAAGTATGACGGTTGCGTGCGAAACGCTCGGCCGCGTGACAAACGCCTCTTATTGATTGTCTTTCGTGCTTTAAGTGACAAGAGGCTCTTTTAAGTTTGAAACTCTAAGAATGTGTGGCCCGAGAGGAGATCGCTTCATGTTGGGTATAGATTAATTGTGCGCGTACACCGAGGCGAGTAGAAGTATGAAAAGAGGCACGGATGGATGTTGAAGGAGGTCGTCGAATTTCTGTCCAGTAACAGAACTTGTTTGGGTACTGCGATGTCCGGGAAGGGCATCCAGTGGAGGTTCGACCCTCCGGCTTGCCCACATTGGGGCGGTATTTTTGAGGCGGTGGTTAAGGTTGTAAGATCTGATGGGGTGCCTAGGGTGGCCTAGGTTTTGGTTGTAGATTCGGTCTTGCAACGTGCCGTCGCGACCCTGTCCCGCTTGCCGGTTTGCTCGTGGACATAAGTGCTTATGTCCGGGACGGGGGTTTGTTTAGGCCTAAACTTGGGCATTTGAGACGTCATCCAATCACGTTTGACTGGGCGCATCGATGGTGTGAGGTAAAGTGCGTGACGCCGGGGGGGGGGGGGAGGGGCAGCGGTATGCCACATCCCGGCGTTCGGCCGAGTGAGTGCGAGGTCAGTAGCTTTGCAGCAGCGGTGCTGTCGATTAGCGTATTTTTTGGCCGCTGCAACGGTTTCGCGCGACCAGGTTTTTGGTTTTGTGGTCTAGAATTTGAGTCTTTATGCGGGCGTAGTATTCAATATCGTACGAAGGAATTGAGTTGTTGTCTGTAACGCTGAACTTTGTGACTCGAGAAGAGATCGCGTTCTTCCCTGTTTGTAATTTGGTGCTACATGAACTGAACCTTGAATATTGAACTTTGAACGACTGTTCGTTATTTGTGTCGGGTGTCACGTGTTTGATTTCGACGAACGTTGAATTTGGTTGAGTTAGAAATTAATTAAATGTACAATAAAGTTGTTAGACTGAAATAGTGAAATGAAGAAAGAAGTGTCAATTGGTGACGTCCGCTGGAGTGATACAACATGGTGGGGCAGCATCGGACCAGGCCGCTGCCCGATCACCTCAGCTGGATCAGGTCACATATATAAACACTACCACACACACTACTTACATTCACCTACACCACTACCGCCTGACCGAACCTTGGGGCAGTCTGAGCCTCGGAACCAGGTACGTACTATTTATTTACCTAGAGTTATATCTATTGTGTAGAATGATAAGTCTCCATAGGCCGTTGGGCCCCACCATTAGTTGTCCGTCGAATCTACCGCTGATGGGTCCCGGGATATTTGACCTTGTTGGGGCACCTAGGGTCGTGTACAGTCTACTTGATGGTAAATGGATGCTGTGGTCCATAGACATCCACTTCTTTCCTCGATTACGATTCAAAATGCAGATGCGTTGTCACCTCTGAGGACTAAGATGAATTGCCTGGTTTCCAGTAAAATTTTACATTTAAAAACCAGCAAGAAACTCAGCGGGATTTTAATCTGGAATTTAAACTTTTATCCAACTATCAAATTTTCCTCGCCATAATGTACTTCATCTCACCTCAGAAAATCCGAAACCGGGTAGACTGGCAGCAATGACCTCTATAGCAAAGCCTCTGTCTTTACTGACTGTAGTTAGGGTTGGTATTAGCTCGTAGAAGTCCAGAAAACTGGTCGGCCAACCGTGAAGCAATAACAATGGAACCACCTCAACACCTGGAGGAACCTGTGAATGTGTGGCAACAGCTAATAAAATTGTAGAATATATTATATACAATATATATTATTTACAAAGGCAAGCTATATATATATATATATATATATATATATATATATACTAGTAGGTATATATATATATATATATATATATATATACTAGTAGGTATATATAACTTAAATTTCAAGTCGTCATCGTCAAGATCTCCTTCCTATCTACATAGCTCGCTCGCTGGTCGATCTTTCGTTTCCACATACGGTTAGCAGTGAAGAACCGTGTCTTAGCGCCATCAATGGCAACATACACTGGTTGTTTACTCTCATTTTCAAAGTTTTGAGAAGTACGATACGTTCTGTAGAATATAAATCCACAATTATTACACCTCTAAGTCTTTAAATAAGAATGGTACTGTAACGTCCTAAAATAATATTTCTTTCTCCTTTCTTTCTTTAAAAAAATTGTTTATAATTACCTCAGGCGTCACTCGCACAAAGTGTACATTAAGACCCTGTATGTTGGTTCTGTATTGGGGATATCGATTTATCATCCTCTCTCGCTCGTGAAATGGGTACTCCTCCGCCCAGTATTGCAGCCAGCCGGGTATCTCGTAAGTGTTGAACCCGTATTCTGATCCCGAGTCTTTCAAGGGTGGTGTGAGCTGTCGAGTGTTCCTCAAACGATGTCTGAGATCCTCAATCATCTGTGGGAAAATAAAACCTTTCTTTATTTTAATTTTTTAGTTTAAATATGATTAAATGTAAACGTCTATGAATAACTGCATATCAATAGTACAATGGACATGTTAAACGTAATAAATAATATCTTCGTATTAATTTAGTAAAACTTACCGATTCATTAAATTCTATTCTAAAAAGTCTGATGCTTGTATCTTGATGCCCCTGCAAACACTCTGGACCCCACCATTCGTTCAGATCTATGTTCGGTACGGGAGGGGTCTCAAAGTACATCGATAGGAGAGAAATCATAACGCTTAAGAAGGACCCTGAGGTACATTGCGTTGAATTCTGAAGCATCTGGAAAAAATAAACTATTTAGTTTTTGATATGAGTGGTGGCACATAATAAATATGGTGGTGGTTTTATTTTGAGAGCCGATTAAACGAGGGCTAGTTATTTTGCGCTCACCAGATGTCGCTAGTTGGAACTAAGGTGAACAACAGATGGTTACACAGTGTCACCGTCATTGAAAAGTTGCGATTAAATTATAATATTTTTAGTTTCACAAAACAATGCTTCATTTTACTTATTTTCGGAATATCAGCAGTTTTGTTTATCCATTTTTGTCTGTTTGTAATGTCAAAAGAACAGCTTTTTACTTAATGCATATGAAAGTTTCATCATCATTACAGCCCTTCACAAGTCCACTGCTGAACATAGGTCACCCCTAAGGAACGCCACAAAGCACGCTCCTGAGCCACCTGCATCCATCGACTTCCTGCATATCTTACAAGGTCGTCACTACATTTAGTGGGGGGACGCCCTACACTTCGGCCGCTGGTACGAGGCCGCCACTCGAGAACCTTTCTTCCCCATCGGTTTTCAGTTCTTCGAGCTATATGGCCGGCCCATTGCCACTTCATTCACTTCACTTCATATTTTACTAATCCGTTGGGCTATGTCGGTTACTCTGGTTCTACTGCGGAGTTATCACGCACTCACGCACGTAAGTTTATCACGCAGAGAAACTCAGAGCATAGCCCTCTCCATAGCTCGCTGAGCTACCTTGACCTTTCTCATCTGGCCAGCTGTGAAGGACCACGTCTCAGTTCCATAAGTCATCACTTTCAACATGCACTGGTTGTACATTCTCGTTTTCAAGTTTTAAGGTTTACCTGACGGGAAAATGAGCTGTAATTTTCCTAACGTTTCCCAGCCGAGTTGAATCCGTCGATTGACCTCTCGGTCGAAGTTGGACTTACCTAGTCGTACTATTTGTCCCAGGTAAACATATTCGTCAACAACTTCGAGCTTAGTGCTCCCAACAACTACCGGCATAGGTGTGACATGGACGTTATACATGATCTTTGTTTTGTCCATGTTCATCTTAAGACATCCGTTGGGAGGTACTATTGAGGTCATTGAGCATAGAGCATAGGTCCTCCAGCGATTCTGCTATAAGGATCATATCGTCGGCAAATCGAAGATGAGTGATGTACTCGCCATTGATGTTAATACCGTATCCTTTCCAGTCCAGTAGCTTGAAAACGTCTTCCAGTGCAGCGGTGAAGAGTTTCGGGGATATAACATTACCCTGTTTTACACCTCTCTGCAGTTGGATACGTTTCTTACTCTGATTCTGTACTCAGATAGCCATCGTAGCCCTAATGCACAAACACATCAGCATTTCGATATACCCACAGACAACATGGCGCCGCTCTAGGGTGCTGTAGTACCGCCCAAATTCCGACGGAGTCAAAGGCTTTCTCATAATCCACATACGCAAGGCAAAGTGGCAGATTGTACTCTTCTGTCTTCTGTACATTTTGCCGAAGGGTGTGTATGTGGTCTATGGTACTAAAACATTTTCAGAAACCGGCTTGTTCGGAAGGCTGGAAGTCGTCGAGTCTGCGTGCGGGACGATTCGTAATGACTGTCGGAAACATCACGTACACGCGGCTCAGAAGGGAAATCGGTCTGTAATTATTCAAGAGAGCGTTATCGCTTTTTTTGAAGAACAAGACCACCGCACTTCTGCTCCTCGCCTTCGGAGTATTGCCACCATGGAGAACGGAATTAAAGAGCTTCTCAAGAACTTCAAGTACCGGTTTTCCACACTTTCAGAAGCTCCGCTGTAATTCCATCCTCACCTGGGATCTTGCCGTTTTTAAGGTTCTGGAGAGCCATTCTAATCTTTCGCAAACTGACGTCCGGGATATCTTCGGAATAGTGTTGGATAAGACTCACTCTTGGATCGTTACTCACACTTGCATGTGGCTCCAACGGTGACGTGTACAGCTGCCAATAGAACCTCTCAATCTCACTCAAAATATCAGGTTCGCCGGAAACGATGCTACCACACTCGGTCTTCAGCTTTGACAGTTGGCTCTTAATGAAAAACAGATCTCTGGCAAAGACTTTGGAGCCTTGGTTCCGCTCGATCGCTTCTTCAATACAAGCTGTATTGAAGTTGCGTAAGTCCTGCCGCATGCATTTGGAGATCTGTCTGTTCAGTTGCCTGTATGCTGTCAAATCTGTTGAAGACTTCAGCTTCATTTACCTTCTAACAGCCATGAGATTAAGAGTGTGATCGGAGATTTTTTGTGTTCTGCTGCGGCGGGTCGTGCAAAACTTTACTCCGACCGCATGCACAGTTTCCACGAGCTTATCATTCATATCGTTCACTTCATTGCAGTCTTCTGGGCACTGAAAACGGTTTTGTAAATCGAGCTGAAAGGTTTCGGGACTTTGGACTAGAGCACCAGGGGGACGGAGCGTTGACTTCATTAGACGAGACCTCTCCAACTTAACATTTAGGTTCAGTGTGCCTCTAACCATTCGGTGATCGCTACCAGTTTTCACCCTCGCGATCACTGAGATATCACTGAACAGTTGTCGTCTGGTCGTCATAATGAAGTCGATCTCATTTTTTGTGTTTCAAAAAGAATTAGGGTTCCGCGCAAAAAAAAAACCTAAATTATACGCGGGCGAAGTCGCGGGGAACAGCTAGTATATAAAGTATAACATTAAAATCTCAGAAAGAAACATTAATCTCTACACTTTTTTAATAATACTCTTCTATCACTATGAAATCTGGCAAATATTTCTCCTCATTGCAAAGTGGCGCCGCCCTGGTGATAGAATATGTCGTGGATTACAATATATTTATCACCGTGGGATGGCATAGGATGTTGAGAGTGTAAAAGTGTTTACACTCCTATAATTTCATCCCATCCGTGCTCTGTGGCATTCTTTTTAAAAAGAAAACAGAGAAAGAGAAATGGTTTCACTGTGATCGATTACTACCAAGGTTGATAAGTGAAGCTATTGAAATTTAAAAAAAAGAATGGCCAAGTGCGTGTCGCGAAACAATTAGGGAAACATAAGAATGGCCGTCATTTGAATTTTACTTAGTAACTCATATAACTATAACAGTAATTCACAATCTAATGTAGGGTATGTAAGTAAACCGCTTATAGGTATTAACACAGTTTAAAAACGGTCCTATTAATATTTGCGAAAGTTTTTGAAAAAGTTTTATGTTTGGGCATCTTGTTAATGACGTTACATTAGTGAGAAATGGTTCTCACTCATGCATAGGTAGCATATTGACAAACGTATTGGAGGATTAAATAGTTACAATCAATATTGATCATAATGGTTTGTCAAATGAGAGTGTTTAATAACAAATGTTATGAAATTTTTAGAAATGAAATAATTTAAGTAAATTGGTTTGAACTATGTATCAATAGTTTTTTGGTAAAACTTATTTTCTGCCGACTTCCAAAAAGGAGACGGTACTCAATTCGACTGTGTTTTTTTATGTGTTTTTATGAAAAAACATACAGTCGAATTGAGTACCGTCTCCTTTTTGAAGTTGACAGAAAATAAAAATCAGCGTGTGATGGCAACAAAATGCAAATCTTAGCCCAGTTCATTCTGTGGGTGTCGTAAGGGTCCGTTTAGGCAAACGTCCTGAAGATCTTGGATTTCGATAGATGGTGGTTTTAAGCATCCCGTATTTAGTAGGTGATAGCACTTCTTTCTGCCTAGGAATCTACCTGGGTAGGTACCATCCTTTTACCTATTTCTGCCACCAAGCTGCAGGAATGAACATACATTGATGGATTCCGGTAGTAGTTGATTTTTTTATAGGATAGGGTGACAAACGAGCACACAGTCCACCTGATGGTGAGTGGTTGCTGTGACTCATAGACATCTACATTTATCCTCATAAAGAAGCAAAATGCAGATGTGTCGTCACCCGTGCGGACTAAGATGGAATGCCTCTTTTTCAGTAAAATGGTTCTCCGGTTCTCAACACTCACCATACGAAACACAGCAGTGTCAAGCTGCCATTTTACGCTGGTATTCTGTGAGAGCGTGGTCCTACCCCGGTCGAGCCGACCCATTTGTGCTACAACTAGGTATACTACTAATATTGTTGCAGCATGGCTCTACCACGTATGAAATTAAAAACGGGATGTTAATAGGCTATTAATTATTAAGGTAATATTGTACACAATATCGCAATAAAATTAGTATAACGAATACATTCCTACATTTTAAAGAACATCTTATACAATTTTGTTATGCATAAACCAGCCTGAAAAAGAAATAAAAAATTGAAAATAAAAATACACATACCGTGCAAAATACTGGCAACCAAAAAAAAATATTAAAGGAAATACATATATTAAAAGTATTAAAACCAATTTTAAAATTCGAAAACGAACTGCACCTCACATATTATGTGGTTATTTCTTGGATATTTACGCGTGTTATACCTACAACGCTATTTTCTGCACTAACAGAATTAAATGAAGTTGCTCACATTTTAATTCGAGTTAAACTGTATTAGTATTTGCATATTGCATATTTGGGTCTTTGTTCATGAAAACTTTTATTAGGTAACTTTGTGATAGTTGTCTGCAAACATTATCATCTCATCGACATTAAAATTCTTCAAATAAATTTTCTACAACTAGTCATAGACCATTCTCTTCTTGCGGCGTGTAATGGGCTGTTTACTTTCCTTTATGATTAAGGACGGTAAAAGCTGATGCCAAATGCTTAATAGAGGTCATACTGACTTTGATAGGTACGTGATAGAGCCATGCTGTAGGTATGTTATAATTGTAGCACGAATGGGTTGATTCGACCGCGGAGGGTCCACGCTCTCACAGAATACCAGCGTAAAGCTTAAATTCTATAAGAGCATAGCAGATTAATTCTGCTGTGTTTCGTATGGTGAGTGTTGCGAACCGGAGAGTTTTTTAACTGAAAACGAGGTATTTCATCTAGGTCCTCAGGGATTACAAGGCTTTTCATGCTAGTTTTTCAATCTTATTCTATAA